CCGGCATCCATTTTGGCAATAGTGGAGAAGAAGCTGGCGTTCTATGCCGGGGGCGGGCGGGAGATTCCTGATTGGTTGTTGGTCGCCTTGGGCGTGTGAAATCGCCAAGCTTCAGACACGCCCAGCATCAGACACGCCCAGCATCAAGATTTTTTTCATGCCTGTGTGTGGACGGGCCGTTATTATATGTTGTACTTTGGATTCCTAAAGCTTTTAGTCTACTATCCCATCATCCAAGGTTAGTTTTCACTATAAGTAATGTGGTTTTTTTGGACGGACACTATAATTTACAGTTTTTTACTATGTTCAATCTGAATTTACTTTAAAATAAAAACATCTATATTGATTCTGACTTTTCTACATCCAACTCACAGGTTTATCATTACTTTGAGAGAAAAGATTATTAATTTAACCCTTTTAGAAGTGAAGATATGGTCATTTGTTCTGGGAATGTCATTTTCGAGCCTAAGACCGGAAAACAGGCTCAGTGCTTAACAGAAGCTTCCAGTCTGTTATTCTAACTATCAGCATCAGAGTGATCTCCAGCCTGGTCCTCACCAACACTCTCACCTGTGTTAACGAGAGAATCCCTGACATGATGTCATCTATTCCTTTGTGGCTGAAATGTAGTGCAAATGTGCTTTTGGGGATTAAGGTCATTTTCATGGCAAAGAGGGACTTTGCAAATAATCTGATCACTCTTCATAACATTCTGCAGTATATGTTAATTGCCATTATATAAACTGAGGCAGCAGACTTTGTGAACATTTATATTTGTGTCATTCTCAAAACTTTTGGCCGTACACCTGGAACATCTTCACAGGTTTTTGCAAAAACTATTCTAAAGAAAAGCAGAGATCTGAATCTCAGAGCAGACACCTTACAGCAGAGTGTGAGATGGGCTGAAGCTGAAGCGCAGGAAATCTGTGAAGGCAACAACATACCTAAAAAGGGCTGAAAACCTTGTAACAGCACACCTGATCTATGACAAATGTTCTGCACTCATTCTTTCAGGTGTGGTGAAAACATAGAAAAGTCCTTTTGCATGCACCAGTTTCTTGAAGTGAATAATTATATCACACATTATTTTTAGGAGCTGAACAGCTTCAGCCAACCACGATAATTGTCGTCCTCCAACCACTTGTCATTAAAGGAGACCTATCATGCTATATTTAAATGATATAGTGTATGACCATACCTATATAAGGTATATTTATACATTTTATTTTTCAAAATACCAAACAGATCATTTTTTAGCCATGCCTCGTTTCGCTCATTTTCGCTCTTTTCCAAGCCTGTCTTTGAAAATTCTGAGCAGCAGCTGACCACGCCCCCCTGCAGAAGAGCGGGGCATGAGCCGGTGAGAGTCACGTTACCATGCTTGCTGTGATTACGAGTGTGGAATAAACATGTCATCTCAGAGCAATGCATGTGTTCAAGCGTATTATCAATTTGATCCAGAGACTGACCCTGAAGCAGCGGAGGTTTTGGTGGAGGTGCAAAGATCTCGGTTGCAGCAGGACGTTTCTGAATGGTTAGTTGACAAGCTGTTGTCCCTATTTATTTTACTCTGTTACGATGATTGCTACTTATTCCGTTCATATTTTGGCTAATTAGCAAGAATGCAATGTGTACAGTTTGTAACTTATAGTTTGTAACGCAAAAACAGCAATACATATATATATATTTATAAAGGGAGACATTCATATTTTCAGCATATATACAATGGCCTCATTGCGTTTATTAATAGTTTACAGCCCTTTTCTTCCAACATCGTGCAACAACCGTTGGAAAGTTCAATAACTTAGGGTGATAACAAGTATAACTCCAACAACACCTCAGTTGTCAGCAATGTGTGTAGTTTCATGTGTTTTTAAAAGCTGTTATTGACTTCTTTCTACAGGTGTACATGTGCAAATTGCGCCACGATGCCTTCTGAACGGAGAATGTGCTGCATGGAGATACCACAGGTAACATTTTTGATAGCTTCACTAAGTTGTCTGTTTAGAGAATACATTTTTCACATGTCATTCAATATATCTTTATCACACTAGGTGTCAAGACGGATGCAGGAACTTGAGGACTCTGTAACCTGTGGTGGACCATCCTGGATTGGAGCCTGTGTGCCTGAATGTGTTCTCCCTGCAGAATGCATTGAATATTTACAGAGCTGAACATGGTGGACTACAGTTAAGGCAAATAGAGCAGTGAGTGGTTTGTTTGTTTTGACTGAAATTGTAAAACGAATGCCAATATTGTTCATGGAAATAAATACTGGTGTATATGGCTTTATGCAATCTTTCATTCTGTCATTGTACATGTACTATTATATACTACACAGCAATGGCATAACACACCCATGTGTACGACAACAAAAGTCCACACACAACCTTATGCTTTTGAAATCAGAATATTCTTTACCCATCCAAACATGAATAATCACGACACATTTGATATCAACTCGGAACTTTATTGTCAAAATCAACGGTTCTTTGAACCCATAAAAAAAAACTAAATGTACTTGTATTTTGTATAAATGACACTAAATATTTTTTTTAATGATTTCAGGCGTCACAGGTATCTAGCCTACAGAAGCTTTGTGAGCTGGTGCTGGGGCTTCCTTGGACGCAGGATCAGAGTGGTGATTCCGGCCTGCGTTGTCCTCAGGGAGGCAGGAGTTTCCTGATCCGCAAAATATCGATGTTGGGTTCAGACAGCAGCCAAATTGAACCGTGTAGCATACCCGGCGATGACCTCCTCCCTGTCAGGTCGCTCATAATGGTGCAGGGTCCACAAAGACTTGGTCGAAGATCAGGTCCATCTAGTTGGCCACGTAGCCTGTGCAATGTTAAAAAAAGCACAACAAAAAATGTGGTTTAGATTAGTATATGCATGTAAAAAACTGAAAGTTATTTCTTATTTTATATTTGTAAATAGTTGTATAATAAATATTTTAAACACTTACAGAATGTGGGGTCAGTCTTTACTGGTTTTGCTCTGCATTCTCCCTTCCTGGCCTTTGGGAACTGCAGTTTATACAGAGGGTTTCCAGTGGATGTAGTGGCTTGTGCACGCTCAGCGTTTTCATTGTAGTGCAGGGCTGCCAGGTACAGTCTTTCATTTCCGCCATGAGAAAAAAAAAATGTAAATAATAGCAAAGGATGTACAAATTGTCACTAATTAGTAAGTATGTGAGGTGCTGGCCTGTAAAGAAGAAAACATAGTTAGAACAAAATCATCTCAACTTAGTATTCAGGATGAGAAAATACTATTTGGATAAATATAGTCTGAAATCCCAAAAGATGGGGCTTAAAACTCTCCATCAGCTGCTGGGCGGTCTGTAGAGGGGGAGGAAAAGAGATCTCCGTCCTCCGTGTTTTATTCTTATAGAAGTAAGAAGAGAAGTAACGGGGCAGAAACCCTCCTTTTTACGCAGCGGTCCAGACATAGACATCAAACGGCGACACATATTCAGTTGCCAGTTACTTTGGCATTAGGGCAGGGATATCTAGATACTTCCCAAGGTCTGACATCATGAAGTGTGCTACTTTTAAAGCAAGCAACGATGTTTTCAAATCTGTAATCAAAAAGCTCCTCAAAAACACTATCGAAGCAGTTCCTGCCGTTGCTACGTTAGTTCAAACAGTAACAACGGACTACTTTTCTTAGCGGATGCTTGTCAATTTAAATCAATACATACAACTATTTTTTAAGTCAATAAAATAATTTTCTAAATCCATAAAAGCATTTCAATTAATATTGGGAGTCATGTCGTTACTTTGTTGAGAATGTGGCCATGTGTAATAAGCGGGATGATGTGCACATTGCATAATGTGCCTTCATGCCGATCTAGATCCCTCCGCAAAAAAAACAAAAAAACGGCTTGTTCGCGGGCGAGAGCCGGCTCCCGTCGTTCACTTAAAAGAGCCTTGGTCTGGTTTGTTTAGAAAAAAACAGAAAAAAAAATCGAGGTTTAAATCGAAAATTGTCCATTAGTTAGAAAAAAAATCGCGATTTTATTTTTAGGCCAAATCGCCCAGCCCTAACTACAATCACAAAAGCTTTTACATATAACGCTGCAAAAAACGGCACTTACCTACAGAAGATTACGTTTGTTATTATAACTTACTCAATATGATTTTAGAGGATACAAAATACTAATAAATAGGAGAATAAATACTTGTGTTATCGGCTAGGGCGTGGCTTTACAGCCTTCACACAGATCGCCATTACGGCAGTATGTCTGAACATGTTAGCAAATGCCTGATAATTAAAATAAAAGACAAAGCAAAGACTGCGGAGCGTACAAAATAAAATGTTACAAAAACATATAAACACCTAACCGATTACTATTTGGGTTTGAGGCGACATTGATACGGCGAAGCTACATGCTACAAGCTAGAGATAGCTTTATCAGGAAAAACACCGCTAAATAAAAACTTACAGCTTCAAAATTGGATGTGTCCTCACTGGCCTGCTCCCGGATGGTTGGTATTGATCCCGGGTTTAGCATTAGCTTGGAGGCATATCCGTGTTGGACTTGAGAGAAGTTCATAAACATGTCCGTGGTAAAATGTTTGGAACACAGTCACACCAACATAAATCTGCCGTGGTCTTCTGGCACATGTCCCTTGAAAATGAAGTCTAGCCACAGATTATTTTCTTTTTCCACTGATGGCATTGCATGCATTCCCCTGTCCCGAGTCTTGCAGCCAACAACAGCACAATGTTTAACTGGCTTAGACATCCTGGCAAGAGCAGACAAAAACACAGATGTGACTGGGGTTGATTTAGCCTGCCGATAGCCTATGTGCGAATGAGAGGTTTGGCAATGCACGTGGCCGTGGCTCATTCCCCTGATAGGTGGAGAGTTGACCAATAAGCGGAGCACGTCTCTTTGTGACGTAGAAAAGTGTTGAAATCTGGATCCATTTTTTTCAGATCCGTTGCAGCCCCTTTTTTAGAGATTTGGCTAAGGAGGAAAATAGAGAGGGTTGTGTTTTCTGACACTTGGTGAGTTCCCTGGAACACCGGGGACACATATTCATGTATAAAAGACGTACAAAGGTGCATTTTGCATGATAGGTCCCCAAGCATTTACCCATTGTTAAACCTGCTCTCAGCATCGTGTTCCTTTTTGTCCGCGGCAGCCTTCAAATTTGAAGCTGGATAAACACGTTCTTCTTCCACCTTAAAATGCGGATCACAGTCACAAAAGGCGTTCTACAGCCACCTACTAAGCGGAGTGTGTGCTAGTCACATACAAAACAAATAGGAATTGGACGTTGTAGGATATAACATAACGTTACCGAGAAAATAAAACATACAAATAAAAAAAAATAGACACACTCATTCATTCTGCCCCAGATACAATGGAATACCTCCCCTCCTAAAATGCCAGACCTTTTAAGACATTTTTAGACCTTGAATATCAAAAAATAGATTTAAGACTTTTAATACTTTTTAAGGATCTGCGGGGACCCTGATAATGCCAAAGCCAACAAGATGTACAGAAGGTATAATAATGACGATACTTACCATCTAAGTTTAGCCTTTGAGGATGCTCAAATTAGGTTATTATGGTCATAAACCAGAGTATTGAACACATTACACCGATGAGGCACTATGTGATAACTTCAAATATCATCATATACAAATTTAGTCTGAGTGTGGGGTAAATATCTGTTCCACAATTCTTGACAATTCATTCAACAAGATATTTTGCACAAAACCTGGGAAAAGGTTATTGGGAGAGTAGTTGTAGAGCGATGCAGTGATGATGTATTTCTGTAGGCTACCCCGAATGTTAGCATTGGTGTCCTCGACAAATACAATGAGATTTTCCATTGAATTGGGAATATTGCAGAAAATAAGATCTGTGCAAACACGTTTGACAAGCGTACATGTTTTGTTCCGATTTAAGCATAAATGCAATCGGCAAAAATAAAAAGCTAACAATAAGCTATAAACAAACTACAGTACATCACGAACGCATGGCTGTGCATCACCTCGCTAAGCTAAAGGCTGCTAATGTTCATCATGATTACGCTAGTCTCATTAAAACACTATATATATTATAGCACTATAATAAGCGGCTTCATTCTGGTCTGTCCATGTGTAGTCTCAAAGGGGCGTTGGCTTTACGTGGATGGCTGGCTCTGAGAGTCACCTCTTTACTCAGTGTAAATAATAATGGAATGTGAACTCAAAGACACGCAGTCTGCATTAAGTGGGACCATACAGTTTAGGCACCAAATAGAACAAACAACAAACAGTGGATGCATTTACAAACTGGAAGTCTACTCATGAGTTCAGTTTTTGTCTGGTAAAGAATGATTGGGAAAATATTTCTTAAAGTGTTCTACTTTATGTGGCAGCCTGTCACACGTGGTTTACAGATTGAACTGTTAGTTGCTCCCAGATAAATGAAGCGGGTCCACACACAGACTAAGAATAAACAAGTGGGCAGGACTTGAAGGCCCTGGTGTGGCCCAGCAGTTATAAAGACAAATATTTCCCCTGTGGATCAGTGAGGCAGGGAAAGGTGTGTTTGGAGAGGAGACAGAGGGGTGCTTTGTCCCCTTTCCACCAGGTCAGCTCTCCCAATCTCTTTCCCCTACTCCTCTCTCTCTCCCTCTGCCAGTCTTCCTCTCTAAATCCCACCTTCAGCTCTGTCGTCCCCCTGCGCCCTCCTGGAGCTCACACAGACCTTCTCACTTAAGAGATGCTATCGCTTCTCTGCTATTCCCTGCTGCTCATCCTTGCTCAACAGGTAAGACTACGATCTCTTTTTCTACTCTACAGACAGACTGGTGTTTCTGATAGGGAACCATACACACACTTAACGCACACGTATCTAGAGCAACAGGAAAATAGACAACTGAGATGCGTCAGTTTTCTCTGTAGCAGTGAATCTGGATTAACCCACATTTTTACTTTTCATTATTAGACTCTTTGGAATATAGTGAAATAATAATCAGGTCGCCAATACAAACATATTTGAACAGATCGGTGTGTTGTCCTTTTTTACTGGGTTCACAGCTTGTTTTCAGTGGGAAACTTGTGGAGAAAAGTCTGAGCTCTTTATTTAAAAGCTGCTGTGGACCCATTTTCACACCATGAAATGAGCTCATTCAGTAAACCTGGCAGACAGGCTTCAGATTTTCGGCATAACCCTCAGTGACCCTTGAACAGTAGTCGGGGGGGATTGAAGCACAAGTTGCTCCACACATGGATTGCATCATAGCAAATACCAAGCTAATCAAAGCCATTCATTTGAAAGAATTAAACAAAAGGATACAAACATAAAATGTATAAGCCGTCACCACGTATAGGCTTTCACATGAACACAGAGACATAACAAAAACATTAATGCTTCAATTGAAAACTAAAACTAAATATCGTATCATTTAGTAGTGAAAAAGGGGCTTGATTCTAGCTGAATGGCCTTAATATTTCTGTTTGCGTATCTTGACTCATTTTGTTCTTTTACATTTTTGTAACTGACAGTAGAGACTCAAAAATAACTTAAATCCCATAATGCAGTATTTAACATTTAATGTAAAGAATGTACACCTCCACCTGTGATAATGCAAAAGAATGTGTCAAATGTCAATCTACGGCTTACTATAGGGAACACTGCTGCGTGTCTTCTATTCAAATATGGTGGCCAATGTATAGTTTTTTAAAAACTCAGTTTTTCTATAAACAAAAAATATATAAGAGTAAAATAAATGGAGCAATCGTTGGGAACTATTTCAGCGGTGGGTTAATCCCCATTTGGTGATAGAGTGAGTAATTGGGGTAGTAGTCCTTATAAAGTGTATGTTCATTACCGGGGAGGAATAGTCAGCCAGTGCAACAGTGAGGCTCATTGATGAGTTTGTAATAGTTTATGAACAACAATAATGTTTATTTTCCTAACTTTCTTAAAGGATGTTTGACACAAATATGGATTAACTAGTTTATTCAGCGGGAATGTTTACCTGTCACCCACACAAATCTCTTGTATTCAAGCTTAACTTGATCAGTCAGAAAAAAGACAAAAATGCAATCTTACAATTTGTTATTGACTTGAGGCAACAAGTTTTTTATTTGAAGGGTCTGTTGCTCGCTCTATTTATGTACTCTGATATGGAGGTCTTCTGGTCTCGATAGTAGTTGGGTTATTAACAAGAGGTAGCGAGGGATACAACATATAATTAAAACATACTGAAATACTATTCAAAGAGACCTACACGTAGTGGGGCTTAAAGGCTTTGCCCCCTAAGAGTGGCCCAAAAAGGTCATGAGGTCATTAAAGTCTAAATTGTTTATCCTTGTGCTCATCCAAATTATATCCAATCTGTCAGTCAGAAGAATACTAGTAATTGGACATACTCGATGTTGCAGAGGAAATGAGATCCCCATCTCATATAATAAAGTCTTGTTCTGGGGACTGGTTGACCTAACTGTCTCCATTAGCAACCAAAGGAGGCTATTGGTGTCCATTCAGCACTTATTACTGCATATTAAACACCACCTCTGGAGGGTCTCAAATGAATAAGGTAAAACATAATGTATAAAAGCGTAAACATGTTTGGTGTTTTGTATCTCCAAAGCTATTAGCTGTAATATAAATAGATTTAAATGTAGTACAGTAACAGCAGTTGCTTTGTTAAGTATAAAGACAATTTCCACACCATGGTGTGGAGTTCTGGTCCTCACTTAGAGCTCTTTGAGCTATCAATTTAAAACTAATTAAAAACGCAGCACGCTTTAAGTCTCCCCCATTCCACTCCACCAGGGGAGTGGGGTTTGCAAATCGTCAAACAGTTCTTCAGAGTATTGCTCCTTTAAGAAATTGCGGGTGAAAATGGATGTGTTCTTCTCACCCAGGTCTTCAGCCGGGCTCAGAACAATGGGCAGCTGGCCCCTGGAGATGGGCGGGCTGCGGCTGAGAGGCGGCAGTTCTGCCAGTGGCCCTGCAAGTGTCGGGAGAGACCCCACTGCGCCCCGGGAGTGAGCTCCGTCCTGGACGGGTGTGGCTGCTGCAAGAGCTGCGCCAGGCAGATCGGAGAGCCGTGCAACGAGAGGGATGTCTGTGACCCCCACAAGAGCATGTACTGTGACTTCTCAGCGGACCAGCCACGATATGAGGTTGGAGTGTGTGCATGTGAGTGGCTCCGTCTTTCCCTGAAATCCTCATCTTAGGATAGTTCTAAGAAACAGGATGCTACTCACTTTCAGTTTGAATCTCCAGAGCTCGGTTAGTGTGATGCATACTGTTAGTGTGGGGACTGTTATTAAAAAAAGAAATGCAACATGTTGCGTTTGTTGACACAGGAACTCGTGATAAAATATAAAATATATAAGCAAGATCACAAACTAAGGATGTCCCAGCCAAGTCGTTTCTGCTGTCCTGTCTGCTGCCAGTACTGAGTGAACGGATGGAGCTTACAAAGGCTTTCTATGCGGAGTTATACAGCTGTAGTGCTGTTTTGTTATGATTGGTCTCTGTTTTGTTTTATCTTGTGCAGTGAAACTATGGCGGCGTAGTAATATCACTGGGATCATCACAGGATGGCCCCAAAAAACATTATTGCCTGGCATACACAATAACTGGAAAAGCAGCAGAAACATATTTCGTGAGACATAAAACCCCGAGAATGACTGTGTGACCAGAATGTAAGAAGTGTGATTAATTATGAGGAGCGGACAGGAAGTCAGACCGCTGAGCCAGCAGAAGTCTCGTACCTGTATGTTTTCAAACTGCTTGGCTGGAAGGAAAGAAAACAGAAAAGCAGGTTTTTCTAAATGTCTACTCAGTGAGCAGCTCTTAAAAATGAATTTTCATGCAAATATCACGCTATCTTGGAATTATTTAAGGTTCTTTATTTCATGAGTGTGATAAGTCAATTAATTTCAAGAAGACTTCATTGATATATGAGCAAATCTTTTACTGTTTTTAACATTCACAGTAACATCATGAGCCAGAGCGTTGACGTGTTTCCCTCCTTCTTTCAGACCTGATGGCAGTAGGCTGTGACCTGAATGGGGCCCACTATGAGAACGGAGAAGGTTTCCAGCCCAGCCCCCTCTATAGGTGCACATGTATTGCTGGAGCCATCGGCTGTACCCCTGCTTTCATCCAGAAGCCTGCAGAACTCATAGGCCCTGCCTCACTCATGGGAAACATGCCAGCCGGCCTTCGCAGTGGCCAGAGTCCAAAGAAGAACCAGCAGGACACTACCTACATGTCAGGTGTGTGTTTATAGAGCGGCCTGTGTACAGGAACCAGCCTGCAGGGCCTGGACTGCTGTCCACGTTATCTGGCATCTGGGAAGGAGAGCTGGCATTCTATTACTCTGGCAGTAGAAGTTATCCACACTAGGACAATTAAACCTTTTAGTGTAGATGTCAGCACTGTGAACCCTGAAATGTTGAGCTCCCCAGTTTTATGATAGAAATGTATAGTAGGGGGCCCCAGAACATAGAAACTGCAGGATGCTAACTCACATATGTTTTTCATTAGCACTAATTACCATTATAGCCTATGTGGTCAATAGTTTAAAAATGACTTAATTATGGAGTCCATTTCTGACATTTTCAGGATCAAAAATGGCAGTTTTAACCAGAAAGTGACCACTTGCTGGTTAAAACTGCCATTATTTTTCCTGAAAATGTCAGAAATAGATTAAGCATCCTCTATTATTCCCAAAACCACTCCAAAATTGTCCAAATAGGCCAAGAAATGTTTTAACTATTGTCATCATAGGCTATACTGGTAATTTGTGCTTATTAACACAATTGATGTTAATTGTGCAAATTGCCAATTGCACTTGCATCTGGCAGTTTCTATGTGCTGGGGACTGACTATACATTTCTGACATAAAACTTTGGGGTACTTAACATTTCCGGGTTCAAAATAGGACTATGACCTGGCAAATATACTATTTAGGGATTTCACAAATATATTTACACTTCAGCCAAATGGCAATTTCTACTCCACTCATTCTAATCAACCCGTGTAAGTACAGCTCAATGGAAACATTTAGAAGAAAATGAACTCCCTTATGGTGGATACGAGCAGGTATTTGGTGTGTGTGTGTGCTCTGCGCGGCAGCATGTAGCCCACAGACTAGTTCTTTGTGTCGGGTGTTGTTGACACAGTGCCCTTTAACTGTAATACTGAAAGCTTACAGGGATCCTCCTTTAGCCTGGAAGAAGAACTGTTTGATCCAGACCACCCCCTGGAGCCCCTGCTCCAAAACCTGCGGCCTGGGCATCTCATCGCGTGTCAACAACGATAACGGCAAATGTGAGATGAGGAAGGACCGGCGCCTGTGTCTGCTGCGACCATGTGATAAAAGCGTGATGAAGAGTGTTAAGGTGACAAGTTGGTAAAATGATATGGAAGTATTACCATAGTTTTCAATAAAATAATCACTATTTCCCTCTCATAGGCGCCAAAGGGAAAGACATGCCGGCCTACATTTCAAGCAAAGAAGGCGGAGAAGCTGACCCTCTCGGGCTGTACCAGCACCAAGAAGTTTAAGCCCACGTACTGCGGCGTCTGCACAGACAAGCGCTGCTGTGTCCCCAACAAGTCCCGCATGATCAAGGTCAACTTCACCTGCAAGGGAGGCACCAGCACACAGTGGAAGATGCAGTGGATAACGTCCTGCGTGTGCCAGAGGAAGTGCAACGATCCTGGTGACATGTTTTCTGACCTGAGGTTACTCTAACTTATGGAACCTTCCAAAGAGTTCAGAGACAAAGACGCGGGACTAAAACTAAAACACCTGATTTCATAAGGAAGAATGACTGGGAATCATTGAATAGAAGAAGAAATATTTAAGAGTTGTTAGTTGTGAAAAATGTCATCAGCACATGTATGTGTACTGTATAACAACACCGGACATAGCCAGGGCAGCAGGACTTATTAGTATGTTATAAGTCATGTTGCTACTGCTTATTTCTTTCAGACAGAAGTTTTGAATGGTGTCATAAATTAGAAAATGTTGAAAAATAACATTTAAAGGTATATACAAAAGATTTGGTTGTGTGACGTCATCATTATTCCTTATAACATAATAATTGTTATACAAGGAGACAGACAAAGAAACAGACAGATTGAAACAAAGTGAAACTTCATCTGGCGATGCGGAGTCTGGGTGCGTCAGGCATGAGTCTTCCCTTGGTGGCATCCAGCTGCTGGTACTCTTCAATCAGGGAGCTGAGAGAGCTGAGGGCCTCCGAGAAGTGGCTCTGCTCCATCCCTTCTACATGCAGGTAGTGGTGTAAGTGAGCCTTAAAAAACAAAAAGGTATTTCAGTCAGATATATCAAATTACCTCACTTTAGACCGAGAGTATCAATCAGAATCACAATGGGTTTTACACATAGGAGGGATTTGCCTTGGTATATGTGGCAAAGACGCAGAAAGAGAACACGTAGCAAGAAAAAGCTAGTTGTACTTTTATAAAAGCTTAAAAAAACTAAAACATTTTAAAACTATTGTAACAAATTAAAAATAGACAATATTTACACAGAATATAATTATGTGAGCAACTGAGTACAGTCAAATATGACAAATACTATATTCAAAGTAGAGAGCTGTGCAGATTTTAAAAGAGGTAGTGTGGAGAAGAAATGGGCAGGATTTACAATTTAAAAAAGAACAAGATGTTTTTTGCACGATGTGCATTAATGTAATGCAGCATGTTTTTACAGGCTGGATACAAGTAGCTGTAATGGAATCCTTGACAGTTTTGCTTGATTAACAACACATTCCTTCTTCAATACAACAGCTTGTACCTTCTTCCTGTAGAGCTTGGTGAAGCGTTCTCTCAGCTCCATGAAGGTGGTTTTCACACAGGTGTTGTTGGCCAGGGCTAACAGGGAGTGGGAGTGGCCCACAGGAGGCACCGAGCACAGGCCCGTCTTCCAGCCTTCCTGGTTCCAAGACACAAATGGCAGCGAAGGCTTCAGTCTAGAGAGGGGAGGAAATGACATGTGTGTTTACATTACACTGACGAGAAAATAATATACAAGATTACTAAGTAACACTTCAAACCGTTCAACAGCACGGATTGTAATATTATTTTCCATCATGTGACAAGGATGCCAACAAGAACTGTAAAGTGAAGAATCTCAACACACTGAAGTTGTACAAATCAAATATATTCATTATTGATTCATCTGTTGATATCTTTCTCATCAGGCTATTCATAATTACCAGAGAAGTACTCAGATCTTGTACTTGAGTAAAAGTAGAAGTACTCAGATCTTGTACTTGAGTAAAAGTAGAAGTACTCAGATCTTGTACTTGAGTAAAAGTAGAAGTACTCAGATCTTGTACTTGAGTAAAAGTACAAGTACTCAGATCTTGTACTTGAGTAAAAGCAGAAGTACTCAGATCTTGTACTTGAGTACAAGTAAAAGTACTCAGGTCTTGTACTTGAGTAAAAGTACAAGTACTCAGATCTTGTACTTGAGTAAAAGTAGAAGTACTCAGATCTTGTACTTGAGTACAAGTAAAAGTACTCAGGTCTTGTACTTGAGTAAAAGTACAAGTACTCAGATCTTGTACTTGAGTAAAAGTAGAAGTACTCAGATCTTGTACTTGAGTAAAAGTAGAAGTACTCAGATCTTGTACTTGAGTACAAGTAAAAGTACTCAGGTCTTGTACTTGAGTAAAAGTAGAAGTACTCAGATCTTGTACTTGAGTAAAAGTAGAAGTACTCAGATCTTGTACTTGAGTAAAAGTAGAAGTACTCAGATCTTGTACTTGAGTACAAGTAAAAGTACTCAGGTCTTGTACTTGAGTAAAAGTAGAAGTACTCAGATCTTGTACTTGAGTAAAAGTAGAAGTACTCAGATCTTGTACTTGAGTACAAGTAAAAGTACTCAGGTCTTGTACTTGAGTAAAAGTAGAAGTACTCAGATCTTGTACTTGAGTAAAAGTAGAAGTACTCAGATATTGTACTTGAGTAAAAGTAGAAGTACTCAGATCTTGTACTTGAGTAAAAGTAGAAGTACTCAGATCTTGTACTTGAGTAAAAGTAGAAGTACTCAGGTCTTGTACTTGAGTAAAAGCAGAAGTACTCAGATCTTGTACTTGAGTAAAAGTAGAAGTACTCAGATCTTGCACTTGAGTAAAAGTAGAAGTACTCAGATCTTGTACTTGAGTAAAAGTAGAAGTACTCAGATCTTGCACTTGAGTAAAAGCAGAAGTACTCAGATCTTGTTCTTGAGTAAAAGTACAAGTACTCAGATCTTGTACTTGAGTAAAAGTAGAAGTACTCAGATCTTGTACTTGAGTAAAAGTAGAAGTACTCAGATCTTGTACTTGAGTAAAAGTAGAAGTACTCAGATCTTGCACTTGAGTAAAAGTAGAAGTACTCAGATCTTGTACTTGAGTAAAAGTAGAAGTACTCAGATCTTGCACTTGAGTAAAAGTAGAAGTACTCAGATCTTGTACTTGAGTAAAAGTAGAAGTACTCAGATCTTGTTCTTGAGTAAAAGTAGAAGTACTCAGATCTTGCACTTGAGTAAAGTAGAAGTACTCAGATCTTGTACTTGAGTAAAAGTAGAAGTACTCAGATCTTGCACTTGAGTAAAAGCAGAAGTACTCAGATCTTGTTCTTGAGTAAAAGTAGAAGTACTCAGATCTTGTACTTGAGTAAAAGTACAAGTACTCAGATCTTGTACTTGAGTAAAAGTAAAAGTACTCAGGTCTTGTACTTGAGTAAAAGTAGAAGTACCAGAGTGTAGGAATACTCTGTCACAGTAAAAGTCCTGCATTCAAAATGTTCCTCAAGTGAAAGTAGAAAAGTATTCATCAAAATATAGTGAAAGTAGTGACAGTGAAAGTAGTCGTTGTGCAGATTGGTCCATTTCAGAATAATATATATGATATGTTTTATAATGATTGATCATGAAAGTGTTCTCAAAGCTGGTAAAGGTGCAGCTAGTTTGAAGTACTTTGTATACTGCAGGGTAGCTGGTGGATTTACTCCAGGTGGAACTACAGTACAGCACCGAGTCACTTAACAACACTGATAAAATGTCAGAGAATATAGAAACATTTTCAGTTAAACAGATTGCAAGGTCTTTTGTCCAACCAGCCATCCAAACCTCCAAAGATATATTCAGTTTACTATATAAAATATATGAATGCAACACATGCTGAGATGTTTGGGATTTTTTCATGGCGAAAGAAAAATCATTAAACAAACGTAGTAGTATATCCAGACATAACCAATATAACATGTTGCCTCAATATGCCCCATTGATTATGCGTGCCCTGAAGAGTGTTTTGCTTTCCCTCCCTCCCTCCCCTCCTATTTTACACCATGGTCACGCTCAAATATGTGCTCTCATAGCAGCTTCTGTTTCAGTTTCTCTCGACAACATGCCACATGAAAACAAGGTCTGCAGAGAGAGTGGTGAGGGGAGAGCTGAGGAGAGGTGGGTGCTGAATGGACCAGTCATGAATCACGGTGGGCAGTGCTGAATGGGGGTACTATTTGGGAGAGCGAGTGTGAAGGTCATCTTTGGGCCTATCAGGGTGGGGGTGCTGGCTGGTTGGCTGTTTCAGATGGAGACTGAGAGGCTGGATGGTGCTCTGACCTCTCGATGTTCCTGCGGAGGTCGGACACCTGCACGTTGCCCCTCACCATGAGGGCGCAGGCCAGGTAGAGGCTGTGCTTCGGGTCGGCTCGGATCAGCTGGTGCTCTTTACTGAAGGCATCACTGAACATCTGATCCAGTCTAGAGGGCACAGTAAAAGACAGAAAGTAAAAGAAAATCATCTTGACTATATTTCCAGGTATTACACTGTCTGTCAACCTTTATGTATTGGTTGCCCTGAATGATGTCTCCATTTACTGGCTAGTAGTGATGCGGTGGGTCAGATTTGATATAGGGCTGCTCGATTATGGCAAAAATCATAATCTCGATTATTTGGGTCAATAATTGATATCACGATTATTAAAAACGATTATCCATTTACTTTGAAAACATCCATTTATTGAAAAATAAATGGATGGATTTATTTTAAGAGTTGATTACCCTGAACTTTAAGTATAATTCAACTGAAAAAGCAATACAAACATTTTTTTTTTTATTAATAAAAAATAAAGAAATAATCGTTTTATTTCGATGATGTTGTTTTTATAATAGTTGCAAGCCAAAATCGTAATTGCGATTAAAATACGATTAATTGAGCAGCCCTAATTTGTTATAACACGAACCACTGTGCTAAACAAAAATGTGCCCGTAACAAATCCAAACCACAAACTTCTTTATGGACTATAGAAGCACAGTTGTCATGAGGTCTGAGGACAGAGACACAGCGTACTGCTGACTACAGTCACTGAAAGGACTTCAGGGATTTACAGTTTTTTAATGTCAAATTGAGACCGACTGGGGCAAGGGAGCAATGTTTTACTAAGATTGTATGCATCTTTATTTATCCAGGGAAATCTGCTGAGCAGGCAAGATATTTTGAGGCAACACCCTGCTCTACATTCATACAGACACATATATTCAGCTCTGGGAGCGTGGCCAGTTCACCGCCACTCTTTTTGACCAATGAGCAGCTTCTCTGGAACAGATGAGGACTATATGGCTCACAAGGCCACTTTCAGTGCAGTTGTTGTTGGGGAGCAGGTTGGAGGGTAGGTGGAGTGGGGGCAGGATCAAATAGCTTTTTTCACAAGCCTGCAGCACTAAACTTAAAGTTGCTGACATCCCACCTGATCAATTGAAAGCCGGCTTTGTGGCATCTGAATATTGTATGCCTTTGTTTAAATGTTACTGATCATGTATTACAGATATTGCTGGTCATTATTTTATTTCTAAATTATTTTCCTATGTAACCGGTAGTGTTTCATCAATATGTTTCAAATGAGGATCAGTGATCTTATTTCCTCTCAGTTATCACTGCAGTCAACATGAGGCATGTTTAACGAGGATGATGGAGTTCATGAGCTCAACACCCTGAACACAAAACAACTGAGTCAAAAATAGCTGCTCTCACAGCCAGAGCAGACCTTCTGGAGGGGACACTGACATCTGCCAGAGTGTAGAGAGGGGTGAGGCTCGGCACCAAGTAGTGTAAACCAGGGAAGGGGACCAGGTTCATGGCAATCTCATTCAGATCCATGTTGAGAGACCCTTCAAAACGAGCTGAGCTGAAACGGAAGATGACACATAAGCAACTTAACCCTTTAACTGCCAGACCAAGAAAAAAGCTATGAAAAAAATATGTTTTAGCATTTTTTTATCAAATGGGCCACAAATAACCACAAACAATTACATTTTTTGACTGACCACAGTTTTGTTTTTATGAGCCTCTACCAACTGGTCGAGCTGGCCTTCTATGGTAAAAGTGCATTTTCAACAATCATCATATACAGTACAGTATGTGTATGCATCAAACTCAAATACATTGGTTTCTTTTATGGAAAATGAGCAATATATACAACCAGATATATTCATAAAAGATAATAAATTATAATTGTAAAAAAAAAAAATTGGAAAAAAGTAATGGAAAGTGTTTTTCATAATAAAGAAAAGACTTGCTCATCTTACTGTATATGCTGCATTGGCCTAACAGGAAACCACTGGCCAACAGCAAATGTCTATATCCTGTGTTGGCCTAACTTGCTCATCTGTGTGCAACTTTGGGCTGAATGCCATGCATGAAAGCTGCTATATAAATGATTATCACTCTTTCACTCTGAGACGCATAAGGCAGTACTAGATGTAGTAATATTACCATGAATCTAGCCATTTATTTACCATATTTTATTGGAAAACATCTCTGAAACTCTGAAAAGTCATATTGGTGAAGTCCACTGAGACAAATGTAACATTTGTGATATTGGGCTATATAAATAAACATTGATTGATTGATATTGCTAGTTTATCATAAAAGGCCAATTCCACCGATTGGTTGAGCATATTTAAAAAAAAAAATGTATTACACCCTTGTTAAAACTTTTTTTGAGCATCAAGTTATCTAATTATGTTCAGTCAGTACTCTGACACTAAAATATGTCAAATGATATGGTAAACTAACAAAAGTTGACCAAAAAGAGTGATTTCTTCAGCAGTGATTTTTAGCACGCCAACTTCCTCAGAGGAAGGGCTTTCTGTTCGAACCACAGTGACAATTAGAGGTTGTTTTGTGCACAACATGTCAACCAAATGGTAGAGCTGGCTGAATCAGATGGAGCATATATAACGTTAGCTTTGCCAAGCTACATTTAGAAAACACGCATTTTAAAAAGGGTTTTTCGCCTGCCGTCTGTCTGCAGACTTGTCAAAGCATGAATTCATGGTTTTTACTAACCGGTATGTTGTTACTTCGGCATCATTTTTAAACGTGTATTACAATTAAATCACGGTCAAATATGTTCATCTTGTTGTAGTTGTAGCCCCCTTGCCAGCGATTCTCTCTCTAGTTTAGAACCACGATTTTATGGGGCCAGAAAAACTGTGAATTAGGACCCGCTAGCCAGTACTAGGCCAAGTGGAAACGCAACCAAAAACGGGCCCGCACGGCTCGGCACGCTTAAAGCGAGCTACCCGCTGCAGTGGAAACGCGCCATAACAAACTCATTTGTCTGGTGAGTTAGTAGGAAATGGCATTTTTGTAACAAAACAATAAAATGTAATGCTCAGTGAATTAGTAATACACATCAGATAAGACTTTAAGGTGCTTTAAATTACGTACAGAAGTGCTTATGGACTTGCCTCTTCTTACCAATAACCTCCTTAAACGTTACACTCCAATAAGGACTGTGGTCACAGCACACAGGGCCAACTTGTCCCTCCGCTCCTCTCCGTCTCTATTGTGTTCTTGTTTATTCTCCTATATGTTTGAATGCTGAGCTTTAGTTTTGCTTCCTGTGTGATTGTGTAGCCTGTGGTCCTCCATGGTGAAGAGGAGGTCATGTGACTCATGCCCCTTTCACACCGCGTTTTCAGAGCTGGAGCTGAAAAGTGCCGTTTTTTCCTGTTCACACCGCAGCGGCGCCAGCTCTTAGCTCCGGAATCTGGTTCACTTCCAGCGCCAAAAAATTGTCGGTCTAGAGGCAAGAGCTTCGGAGCTAAGAGGTGGCGTCGCTTACGTCTCTCTTACGTCGAGGCGTGCAGGAAACTAAACCCTCCTCCCCTGAACATGGGTCGACTGTCATGCCTGCCTACAAGCAGTAGTGCTTATAAACACACTTTATAAAGTCAGGCAACACTAACCAGGCTTCGTGTGATTCTGTTTATTTGTACCTTACTTTGAACATCCGTTCACTGTTATTGATCATTGTGGAGAGGCAGACGTTTTGTTTTGTATTGTAGCAGCTATCGGATGGAATCAATACATGGGCTGCACAGGTTGTCGTGTCCGACTATCACAAGTAGAATCATAATAAAAATACGCCGGTAAAATGTGCCGGTAGAAAACGGTTTATGCCACAATAGGATAGCAATAGCAAGTAGTCAGTTTAGCTTCGGTTGCTATGCTAACATCACCCATTTTATACCAGAGAAACTTTCATAACAGCGTTGTGATACCAAACAGCGTCAATTCAGACTGACACACATTCACTTAGGCTAAGGGGAACTGGGGATATGTATCAGCTGCTTGTGTGAGTCGAACAGTGAATACTTTAGAACGGCCGCAGCAGTGTGAGCTAACCGGGAGCTAACGGAGGAGAATAAACTCCCGTGGAAGAGCAGCCAACACTGCAGCGGTCGGTAAATGCCGCAGAAACACATGAATAAACAATGAACCACGGCACTCTGGAGAAAAGCATAAGGTTGGAGAAGTCGTTATTTAATTTAATCTGGCTTCGTGTGATTAAAAGCAACACGATCATCGACCCGACGCAGTTCCCTGTTGTTGTTGTTGTTGTTGTGAGCGCCGTAACGCCGTTGGGGAGCAAATCAGCGATGTAAACGGTGACGTCATGACGCAGCAGCGGCAGCACCAGTCGGGCTCTGGGCGGTGTGAACAGAGCGGGAGCAGAAAAGGGAAACCGGAGCTGAACCAGAAAAGCTCCCGCTCGGAGCTAGAAAGGGAAAAGCGCTGGTGTGAAAGCCGCATCAGACTCTTTCTGTTTGGAGACACCTGAAGGTGCTTGACATCCTCCTGGATCTGTATTCTCCATAAATGCTAACATTCTGTCATCCTGATTATCCAACATATTTTCCCTGTGTGTCCATCCAGGGAGAAGTATCCTTTTGATTTAACCTCACCAGAAAAAATGTGGATTGGCAAAGTGATCACAAAACAACACATTCTGGTTGTGTTTGTATTGCTGTGTAACGGAGGCTTATTAGCCCGACATCATTGAATCTTGTATCTCTGTAGCCTCGAAGTTAAATCTAGTTTTTTGCATCAAAATGAATCAGCACCTGCTTTAACAGATCCAACCCCGTAGCTCCTGTGCTGCGCGCAGGGTTGGGTTGTAACGGAATACATGTAACGGCGTTACGTAATCAGAATACAAAAATCAAGTAACTGTATTCAGCTCGCGTTACATTTGAAAAACGAGTAATCTGATTACAGTTACTTTCGTAAACCTGAAGTGAATACATTTTGGATTACTTATTGGAATTATTGATGGAAATATTTCCTCACATTTAATATTCATTATTAAAGGTACAGCCGAATCATCACAGCACACAAACACTTTTACCGCCGCAGATGGACAAAAAAAGGGAGCGAAAAAAAGGGGCGGGGCCGCTCAGTGAAACAATAACAACGAAACATGGAGGAACAAAAGTCTGCGTTTAAGTCGTGTGTGTGTAGAGGTGTGTGTGGTTAAAACACATCAGCCTGCGGTCGCTCTTTAGCCTTATGATTCTGAAGGTAAACACAGCGAAGGCGGTGCGTGAAAGGCACTGCACGCTCGTCTTCTGAGTTAACCCTCCCGCTGCTTCATGGTGCTGCAGAGATTTCATGAAGTGAAGGAGGTGTTCCTTCTATAAAACAGCTGTGGGCAGCAGATACTGTGAGAGTCACAGACATGAATTCATAGATCAAGGCAGACTGGTGCACTGTGCACAGAGTCTCCTGTTTTGCCGATCCGGTGCTTAAACAAATATAGCTCTACACCCCTGGCCGACATGTCCTTAAAATGAAGTCCGAGTTCGACATTTTAATTCATGTCCTGCCAACACTTGCAGGACAGAATGCGACACGCCCGTTCTAAGCCGTGTCCCTCACTCCTCACATCCCAAGCTGCATCCCCAAAAAGTGTATTAGCATATGTTGTTGCATCGTTTCAGATGTGATGTTTCAGTTGTGCTCTTGATAAGCCATTAAAACAGTAAAAACACGTTCAGTTTCCTTTTGCTTTTTGTGTCTCCTGTTCACCAAAACATACCCATCTGTGATGGAAAAAGAAAGTAATCCAAAAGTAATCTAAAAGTAATCTGATTACGTTACTTTTTTAAGACACGTAACTGTAACTGTATTCGGATTACTTTCAGAGCCATGTATTCAGTAATCAGTAACTGATTTACAAAGTAACCCTCCCAACCCTGGCTGCGCGTCATTGTTGTTCAGTAACTACATAGAGTTGCTGCTGCTGTGGTGTTTATAAAAAGTTTTTTTTTTAAAAAGGTACTTTAAATATCATTATAGTTTGGCAACGTTTTATAAATACTCCATTTAGCATTGTTCTAAAATAGTGTGTACAAAAAAAGGGTTCCAAATTATTTAAATAGGTTCACACATAAAATAACAACAGGATTGAAACAAAGGACAGGGGTTGTCTGTACGGGAAACAGAAATACCACACCTGGTAATGTTGAGCAACAGGTTAGCCACAATATTATTCATGGCATCAAAAGGCTTCTCGGCTCCAATGAGCCCCCCCTGCCCAGAGATGATGGCGCTTTCCCTCCTGATCACAGTCCCTGGCTTTCCACTGTGAGACATATGTTTAATCTTCTTCACAATGTCCACCAACGACTGGAAGAGAAGTCAGAGGGAACAAACACACCTGAATAATGGTTATTTTGTTTTGTAAATAATGCAGAGATCTTTGTAGTGAGAGGAGAAAAGGCACACACTTGGTTTTCCACAGGCAGGACACAGTCAGCGTGCTCTGTGAGCTCCCTCATAGCCAGGATGCTGTTGTAGGGAGAGGTGACGACATCATCCTCTGCAGATGGATAGATGGAGGTGACAATCCGACACACCTCGGGGAACTCCTCCTCCAGCAGGCTCAGCACTTTGGTCCCAAGGCCCGAGCCTGTACCTTCAATTTATAATTATTGCTTTTACTTCCTGCTGTTACTGTAATGCCCCTAATATGGGGAAATATAAAAAAAAGAAGCAGACAAGTTTTTGCTGGCTTCAAGTCCAATGTAATTTGAACAGGTAGCAAGCAACACTCACTCTGTCATATCTATGTAAACAAAATACATGGTCTCTTTGCCAGCTCATAGAGTCCTATAGTGAACCCGGAAATGTTGAGTCCCCCAAAGTTTTGTTAGAAATGTATAGTACGTATTAGGGATGGGAATTTGAAAGCAAATGTATATTCGACCCCCCAAAAAACGGTTAACCGGTTAACCGAAATGTACATATCCTATAAAAAAAAATTGTTTTCAAAACTTTTTTCACAATTTTTTTATTTTTTAGAAATACATACATGTTCAAATAAGTGTAGAAACCAAGTCGAATTTGTCAAATGTATTGAACTGGTGATCACAGTTTAACAGCTATAGGCCTACAGCTTTCATGTGCGGAGGCGATTCACAATCAGGCCAGCTGTAGAGAAGACCCTCTCAGCTGGAACGGAGGTTGCGGGTATAGCAAGGTATAGCATCTATATATACGTTTAATTTGGCATAGTTTGACCTCTACACCGCACTCACTAACCTGGTCGAAATATTTCCACACATTACTCCTTTTTGACGCCATGTCTGTGTAGGACTCTTCTTAGAGTGTAAATAATTACCGGTCAACTGGTCAAATATGTTGAATACCGGCAAAACTAAATCTCTCCTGTGAAAATGTCTATGTACTTTGCCGCCACACACGGTTGCCAAGCAGCGCTTATTGTTGTTTAGGCTGGCCACTCATGTGTCGAGAGTGTTGACAGGGGGCGGGGGAGCACGCTCATGAACTGTTAGCGCCGGAACCTCGCAACGGCTGCGGAGCGCATTTGGGCCTAAGATGAGGTTTGAGTCTGCGTGATCTGCGTGTAGGGAGGGGCAGCAGCCATATCATTAGCTAGAACTAGATCTGATGGATTTGGACATAAACGCGAGTGAAGTATAACCGGACACGAGAGAGAGAGATCAGCACCTGCAGCTCTGCCCGCTGTGAGGGACCGGTGAGCGGAGCAAAACACACCTTTAGACGTCAACTAACACATTTAGCTATGGCACTGTCGTATATATATACATTGAATTATTCAATTTGATAATATCAACTTAGGCATCACTCCCAAAAAAAATAATTAATAAAACATTTTTAAAAAAAATAACAATATTCATAACTCATACTCGAACACCTGAATAATTTTGAATATTCGATTAATCTTTCCCATCCCTAGTACGTATACAAAACAGGGGTAGACATTAAGGGCCGGTGGAATTGTAACGTCACTGGCCCCACCATTGTAACCACTGGCCTTCGTCCAAAATGAATCGACTAATAATGAAGAAAATTAACATATTTGTTGCAATAGTCATTTATGCACTAACTACATTACTACAACATTTGAATCATCAGTTCTTTCTCATTTTCCTCAATTGTTCATATTTGGTTTATTAAAATAATGATATTGTGGTCATTGTTAAAAAATGTCTGCTATTATTATGAGTATTATTATTTGTATAATGCGCTTTCTGCCTTCCTGTCATTAGGAGTTAGACATGTAATGGCTATAGATTAGAACCTTCATCATCCTAAACTGCTGGGACATTTCCCTATAGCCAATACCTTTATATTTTCTACTCTTCACTTACTTGTCAGCATAGGTCGGCATTGATGTACAGAGCCGACAGAAGACCTTGTTTATATTGGCATCATATTGAGAGGTGCAGCCAGTGACGCGTCATAAAACCAGGAAGTAAGCTGCTGGTTCCCTCCACAAAAAGCAATGGGATTTCTCCACAGGGTTTTGGAAAATAGCTGGAAATAAGGTCTGTGGAAAACAAACCTATTTGATAAATGCACGTTTTGTTCAGCCGGATAATCTCCACATGTCTACCCTACTTTTAAAATGTTCGAATCATAAATCTAATCGATAGATTATAAAAGGGTTTTAGGACGCGTCACTGCACCACTCTATAGAAGCCAACTCCATCGATCAAGCTGGCTGAAACGTTCTCTCCCTCTTCTTCTCATGCTCCCTGTCACACTCCTTTAACTCCTCCGGAGACTTTCTTTTATTTGAAGATTGTTTTTTTCCCGGTTACCGCTGGTATTAAAAACATTTTGGCGAATGGTTAGGCGGCGCGATAGTCTGTAGTGAAGGAGCGCGCTCCCGCTCACGGGAGCCTGCTCGCGCTGCATACAGCTCGGCTACATTTAAAGGGCCAGACGCAGCATCAGCGCTTTAGTAACAGGGCTGAAATAGAGGGGGATGAGGCATGCTACAATGGGTGATCTGTTTGCTATTTTGAGCAAAACACTTCAGAGACATGTTTTGTAAAGGTATGGCCCTATAATATATTGTTCAAATATAGCATGATAGGTGAGCTTTAACTATTGTCTACATAGGCTTGTCTAATAGTAATTAGTGCTAATTACACAACTTGTGCTTATTGTACAAATTGCCCAACATATGTGAGTTAGCATCCGGCAGTTTGTAATTACTGGGGACCCGTACTATACATACAGAAATGGGGTCATTGCAAATGCTTTGACATACTTCAATGTCAAGCATCAATGATCCCATGACTGGAACTGGTCAAACTGGGTTGTGCCTTACCTCCTCCCATAGAGTGAATGAGGAAGAAGCACTGCAGACAGTCACAGTGTTCTGCTGCCTTCCTCAGTTTATCCACGATCTGTTCCCTGTAGGCTGAGCCATACGTCATGTGTCCAACTGCCCTGTAGAATAACAAGCATAAAAATGAAGGGCAAACTTTGGAAAACATTGTCTTGGTTCTTTGAGTCTGAAATGGACGGTATATTTCTGTTCATATGGTGATCATTATTATCCATAAATGAACTTCAGTTGCAGAAATATAATAAATAATAGAATTTGGAGTTAGAATATCTGGGCTGCAGCCTGTGAGCACCTGTGAATGACTTTATCTGGGACTAAAAACATTGCATTTCTTTACTGTGTTTTCATGGTATGCGAGAGAAGGTACATCCAATTATTGTAAGAATACAAAGTCAGTTTTTCTAAGCATGTGATCTTTAGAATACCAGGGCTTGACCTGCTGTGGTAATCATAGCTGTAACAATGGCTCCATGACTGAAAACACAGTAGTTATGTCAAGAAGCACTTCTGACTTTCCCCCCAAATTGTATAATGGAGGCTTGAGGCAGTAGAAAGAAAAAACCCACAATCGTAGAGACCTCTAAGCTTCTCATGATCTTTTGTTTATTTGCTGGGAATTATAAATGATGGTGTTATATAAGGGGAAAAAATGATTTGGGACATTCAGTAATGTACTGGCATTCTGAAAGATTTGAGTGCAACAGTTGCTAGCAGCCATGTGAGATCGTCCTGTGAATAGTCAGTGTCTCACCAGTTGTTGCCTGAACCCGACACGTCTGTGAGGAGCTGGGTGCTGTCAAACATTTCTCTCAACGGGCCCTGCAGGATCTCATTGACCACACCCTCCTCCATGTCCACCAGCACCGCCTGTAGATTCAAATATATGCAAGTATGAGGACAGCGCATGCCTTTGAATATTTCCTTTCTCTACGAAACCCTATCTAATCCAACCCTGATCTGACTCCTAGTGAGGACCAGAGGGGAAATCTGTGCCTAAAGCTGCTTCCTGGTATGAACAGAACTCACCCTGGCCTTCAGATGTTGGATTCTCCCACCAACAAAATGGGCCTCCCCATCACATTTACTGGAAAGAAAACCAGATATAACAACAGGACTAAATTAGGACCACTGTATGGAGACACGTTTCTTAACTCATGTAGCTTAACTAGTTACTAGAGTGTTCGATTACCTTGAGTCCACATTTCGGAAAAAGCTACTGAGTGCCTCATCATACAATCCTTTCTGAAAATGAGACATACACAGGATGTAAGGAAACCTGTACAAGTCCTGGAAGTTGTGAACATGTCTGTTTTAGAATCAGAATGAATTCTATAGGCCAAGTATGTGTAGCAGTACAGAACATGACAGTAAAAAGGACAACAAAGCTGGAAAAGGTAAATGAAGTCAATTGTTTATATATAACATACAGTCGAGCATACAGTGAAATATATATAATGCATACACGACTAACAATAAAATAATAACACTTCATCAATACATTTTCACAATACAATTTATAAATAGTTGTTAAAAAAGCTAATTGTTGGGGTCCTCGCAAAGATTCAAGCTCATCAAATACAATGTGAGGACAGTTTAGTGTCTGACTCAGTTCATGAGTGTTGAGATGGGTGTATTAGTACTTACTTTATTCACATGGGCATGTTCTCGCAAGGCAAGATCCCAAAACCTGCAGCCAACCTGGTTGCCACACTGCCCAACTGCAGAACACGCATTACAAGTTTGGTTAAGTTAAGTTGTGTCAACCATTTGTTGAATCAGCCGTAGCCAGTGGTGTAAGTTAAGTAAAGCAGATTTACTCAAGTACTTTGCTTAAGTTCAATTTTGAGGGATTTGTAATTTACTTGAGTCTCTAAATGTTTTTGCTACTTTTACCCCACTACATGTACAGATGGGGATGAATGATGTGAAATCTAACCAAGTGTTAAATCAGACTTTAGTTCCACCTGGAGTAAATCCACAAGCTACCCTGCAGTATACAAAGTCATTCAAACTAGCTGCACCTTTACCAGCTTTGAGAACACTTTCATGATCAATCATTATAAAACATATCATATATATTATTCTGAAATGGACCAATCTGCACAACGAATACTTTTACTGTCGCTACTTTAAGGATATTTGTATGCCAATACTTTTGTACTTTTACTTGAGTAAGATTTGAAATGCAGGACTTTTACTGTAACAGAGTATTCCTACACTCTGGTACTTCTACTTAAGTACCAGATCTGAGTACTTCTCCCCCTCTGGCCGTAACTAAACATGCTCCTGCTGTAAATCTATAAATTGTGCACTAGCATTCAGTGGCTAAAGACAGCTAAACTAGCTGCTAGCTTCTCTCTGGATGCTCACATTAACGTTGAGTTTTAACTCACCTTGGACAACAACGGACTGTGTCATGGCAGCAGCTGGACGGAGCACCCAGGCGTCTTTATAAAACAGAGCTAATCTAACTTAATGTCAATAACTGTCCATTAAAAACACTTTTTAAGAAAATACTTTTGAACGCTTCTCTAATCTCGCGCCACCACTGTGTTTGGTCTTCTTCTTCTTCTTCTTCTTCTCTTGCTTTTGGCGGATTGCAAACAACTTAAAAGGTGCATACCGCCACCTACTGTACATGAGTATGAATCATCACATCATTCCAACTCTTTAACTTATGCTCTAATCAAAATTAAATTAAAATAAATCAATAAAACCATGAAATAAATCAAACAAAAACCAAATCTATGTTCTTTCCTGACCTAATGTTAAATTATTTTTCCTACCCCAGTTTCACTCAAGAATTTAAACAGTGCCTTTCTGGTAGCTCTTACTCCCTCTCCTTTTGTTCCCAAAATACCAACCACACTCCATTCCCTCTCTGCCTCTAAGACTTTAGCCTTTAGTTGTTCTCTTTCCGCTTTATAGATGTCACAATGTAACAAGATATGTTCTACATCTTCTTTTACTGCACAGTTCGCACACTTGTTACTGTCACTTTTCCCCATGACATACAGCGTACCATTCAAAGCTGTGTGATTTATTCTGAGTCTAGCCATCATGATTTCCTCCCTTCTGTTTCTTTCTTTATGAATATGAATTGTAATTGTCTTTTGTACTTTGTGATAGTCCTTGCCTTTCTGGTCTTCCTCCCACCTCTTCTGCCAGATCTCCATCCCTTTTTTCTTAATGATTGCTTTTCCTTCTCCTTTACCAAGTTGAACTGGTAATGTTATTTGCTTTTGTAGTGCACTTTTTGCTCATTTATCCCTTTCACCCCCTCATGTGCAGGCACCCAGCAGAACTGTAGATCTATGCCGCTTCTGTGCAGTCTTAACAGGCTATGATTCAGTTCTATGAGAATGTCTTCTCTGGTAGTTGTTGTTGATTGTCTGCTTTGTAATATGGACAATGAATCTGCACATATAATCACCCTATCTGGTCTGACCTCTTCAACCCACTGCAATCCTATTATTACAGCAAGCATTTCTGCTGTATACACTGATAATTGATCAGATGCTCTTTTTAAAATAGATATTTTAAAGTCTGGGATGTATATGCCAACTCCAACACACTCTTCCTTGTTCTTAGAACCATCTGTATACATTTGTAGGAAATTGTAGTACTTTTCGTTCAGGCTTGTAATGACCTCTATGCTTCCCTCTGATGTTAGCAGGTGTACCGACTCCTCACACCATATCCTACATTTCCCCAATCAGCTTTAGCAAAGCAGCACCTGGTTATCACACCTCCTTCCTGCATATATACATTATTATTCATTTTAGTAAGCACTGGATAATGGTCACTTCCTACAGTGGAGTTATTCAAAACAAACCATTCACATGTATGAACCAAACAGTTTGATACAGGCATGAGACTTTCCCCCTGTGAACATCTACTCTTGTGCCATGTCCATCATTAAGGCATACTAGTGTTCTTTCCTCCAGCATTTCTTCCACTATATTTCCGTTACTGTCTGTATGGTTGCTGCCCCATAGACTGTTGTGTGCATTGAAATCACCACACCAAACTTCCTTCCTATGTTTATTGCCTGCTATTTCTTTAAATATATCAGTGGTTAGATTTTTACATGGGTTGTATAAATTGATTATCCTAATGTTATCTTGTTTCCTAGGGTTGCAACTTTCCACTATAATACACTCTAAATCATCAGGAGATTGCACCTCTTGCACATCTTTGAGAAACGTGGCACACCCTCCACCATTTTGATTATTATCTCTATCATGCCTTCTACAGCTAAATCCTGGAATGACAAAGTCTAATTGAGGTCGTAACCAGGTTTCTTGCACACATATTACCTCAGGGACTACCTCTAGAACATATATTTCTTGAATTCTTGACCATTAGCTATGAGGCTTCTTGCGTTCCACTGTAGTATGTGCAGCACCATGATTAAGGATCTAACCCTCATCCTGATTTTCATTTTCCCCAGCTCCATTTATAGCTAGCATTGCATGTATCTGATCTGCTTTCATATCTTTCATGTCTAGGAATTTCCCAGCTGCCTCCACAATGGCTTTGATTCTATCACTTTTCTTTTTTAACTGTAATGCAACATTTACAGTATGACATATGAATACCACAAAATTCACCTTTTTCACTCCTATAACATCATCATCCTCTTTACTCTTGGTGGCGCTGTGGGGTTGGATTTTAATATTACTTTTTGATGTGTTCCTGCCATTTTGTATTGTAATGCTCCGCTCCATTCCACTAGGGGTCTTATTGATTGTTACTGTTCCCCTTACTTTCTTTATTGCTTCTGCGTATGAAACTTGGTTTGTAATCTTAACCCTCTGCACCTCTCTGGCCTCTCTCTGCACTTCACATCCTCCAAACGCAGCACTGTGATCTCCTCCGCAGTTACAACATGTAACCTTTGCATCCTTTTCACATTTTCCATACTCATGTTGTCCTCCGCATCTCGCACACCTTAGCTGTCCTTTACACTGCTGCGCGGTGTGCCTCATTCGTTGACATGCGTAGCACCTGAGAGGTTTGGGAATGTACTCCCTAACCATGAAGTTCAAATATCCCATTTGTAGTTCTCTCAAACTGAATGAGAACTGATCATGTTTCTTTGAGTGTGCCATCCGGTTTGCTTTTAAGCCTTGTGACTTCCACTACTTTGCCTCCTTTTAATTCACTTTTAACATCTTCCACTGACATGTCCAATGGTACTCCTGATATTACTCCTCTCAGTTTTGCCATTGCTCCTGGGACATGCGCCTTCATTTTCTCCCCATTCAGTGAGTTCATTCCCAGTATCTTTTCCTGCTGCTGTTTGTTATTGGCATGTATCAAAACCCGCTTGTTGTTCATGAATTTAGCACATTTTATTTTTACAATCTCTTTTTCAATTGCTTTGGTAAGTTTAATCGGGTGGTAATGCCCACCATCCTGATTGAATTATATTATAACTTTCCACTCGTGTTCTAGTTCTTTATTCAACATTGCTTGGCTGACACTTTGACTGATTTTTGATTTGTTGCCTTGTCTGCTTCACCCGACCAATCCGACCAACTTCGAGCTCTTACTGAACTATCTCTTTCTCTCAAAGATCTTTTCTTCCTCGCAGCTTTGGATATCATCCATTCCATATTGTTTCTTTCTACCATCTGAGCTGGTTGACATGATGAAACAGTCAATGTACAGTTTATGCAAATCCGCCAAAAATAACAGTCCAATTCTACTGTTTCTGTATGTATCCGAGTTTTCCGATTCTCTCTGAGCTTTCTGTCACGCGTCTCCGACTTCACTTCCTCCCTCGGATCCAACGCATGTACTTCCCTGACCACTGTGTTTGGTCGAGTGCTGATGACGTATTACCATGAAAACGGTGTTTGACTACTAGGGCAAGCCCCCGTTGTGGCCAAACGGCGGTACTACACTTCCTTTAGGTTGCTGGGCCCGGAAACACTTTTTCCCATTGACTTACATTGGGAAAGAGTGGTCTGTAAATCGTTGGATATTTTTTTTAAAACTAAATAAACTACTCAGTATGAACGTTTGTATAGCCCTTATTAAAAACATTTGTTCCTCAAGTTGTAAAAATGTGCTAATAACGTTATTCTGAGAGTTATTTCCCTCGGCATTATGAACGCGCTGCCCGTGCTGTTCATGTGACGTGTTCAGTAGCTACTACATGAGTTTATCTTTACCCATGGATGCACAATAACAACGGACCATATCGCCTTACTGCCAGCCCACGGAGCTGTAATAATGGATATATTGCACATGTTTGCTGTAATTCATCATTTGTAAAATATTATACATACCCGGCTGTATGATGTAAATCTTGTACCGTAAATGTTGTATTAAATAAAGTTAATATTACCGACGTAGATTAACGTTCCTGTAGCTTCTTATTACACTTGCAATATACCATTAAAAGAGTTGAACGTAGCTCTAATCAAATTAACAGTTGTATTAATTATAATTGTATATATATATGTATATTGCCTGTGTTGTATATGTATACACACAAATGAACACCCTTGTGTTTTTTCAAAAGTTTTATAAGTTGTATTGTAGTGTTTATTTTAGTGTTGTTTTATTCTTATCCACATTTTGATTTCAGAGCACAGGACAGGAGAATGCTGGGCACAACATCACGCTCAACAGTGAAGCTGGCAATGCTGAACAAAACCAGTTATAATATTTATTCCACTGAAAAAGTGAAAGCTTTACGAAAATGTAATTAAAGATACATAAGCATTTCAGGTAGAAATTAGCATTTTATATAGAAATTCACAAATATAAGAAATGAAACCTAAAAGAGATGTTAACAAATGTATACCTCTGATGGCTGGCATAGAACTAGGTGAACAAAATAGTGACAAAAAATGTTAATACAATTTATATAGATTAAGTAAGGGATAATGTGCAGCGACGCGGTCATTATGGGGTAAAGAACACCGACAGGCTGATCAGGAGCCCGACGCAAAGCGGAGGGATCTCGGCATGAAGGTGACCAATCAGAATCGAGTATTCAACTAAGCCATGTAATAAGTGTCAATAAATGTCAACACACTCTCACTCCATAATCGTCCAGGAGCGACGTTTGGTCAGGGTCCCCGTGGTGTGCAGTTGTGACGCTCCTAGGCTCCTTCAGCTTCATAAAGGGATGCAAATAGCTTTCAACTGATTGCAATGTATTCCCATCTGCGGCGGGATTTGACGCTCATGGAAGCACGGCATTCGTTTGTGTCGGCTGCCCATAGAGAGGCGAAGTCACGCCCATCTACTTCCGGTCCATGGGACCCCGGAAGCGAAAAATTATACATTGAATTCAATGGAGAGAGAAAACGTATCTTTTGATCCCGTTTGAATTGTGCCACGAACTACACATATGATGTTTGTCAATCTTAAACAATAATTTCCATGTCAAAAAAGTCACATTTTGTCGTAAAACTGTTGAAATATAAGACTATGAAAAATACGCGACTACAAAGACTACAAATCCCAAATCCCATTCTGGGTCGCGTAAGTGATGTCACAGGCGATAATGCTCCAAGTGGTTGGTTCACTTTTACAAGATGCCTGTGTGCTTTGTACCAGGT